CTTTGCACCTCCATCTGGGTAATAAGCACTATTCTATGTACTAGTAAAGCTCAGAGTGGCAAGTTCCTGCCTCTGAATTAAAGAGAGCTAGTTATGTTGCATAGCTTTTGGACCAAACCTAGCCATCTAGACCCAGCTCCCCACCACAACTGAGGCCCTCCCCTTTATCTGCCATGATCCTCCCATCTCTAACACGTTGTTGTGGGGACCAATGACACAAAAAGTCAGTTGAGTCGAACTGTCATATTCATTAATCACTGTCCATGCTTCTGTACTCGGAGCATTTCTCCTGGAATGCAAGCCTGTGATTCATACATAATACAGGAAAACTCTTTTCTTGGCAGATTTATGCCACCAGCACTGTCTATTCACCTCACCAACCCCTGCTTCACTGTGACTAATGTGTTTTGAGACTAGAATGTTTTTTAACCCATGTAGAACTGTTTTTAAAAATCACATGAAATTTTCAGAGATTTACAAATAGTTTTAAATAAAAGGAGAGAGAGAGAGTGATTGGGATGAGGAATGCCTAGAGATTTAAGAAATTGCCAAATCACAAAGATGGGACTGATATGCTAATAGAAGGACTTTTTATCCTTTCTGGTGAAAGCTATAGGGAGTATAGAGAGATCATCCGGGTAAAAATATGGAGGTTATACTGGAGCAAAATGAAGATTGAGACTGGAGGGGGAAAAAATCAGTTAAGAGGCTCTAAGAGTAACAAGTGGGAAAAATGGTGAAGGCCTTTATAAGGCAAAGACAATGGGAATGGAGACAAGGGGGTGGCTATTTAAAGATTACAAAGTAGGACTGGTAGAACTTGGAGACTAATGGAATGTGGGTAATGAGGAAGAGTGGAGAGTCAAGGAAAAGACCACATTCTGGTTTGAGTAATATAGTCAGAGTGATACCATTCACATGTATATGAATAAAGGAAATAAAGCAATTTGGAGGGCAGGGTGGCTCTGATTTGGACTTGCTGAGTTTGAGGAGCCTGTGAAATGAGATGTTTAGTACATGACTGAGTACATGTGCCTGGAGTGCCACAGAAATGTCTAGGCTGGAGATAGATATTTGAGAGGAATGTAGCTGAAATCCCAGATGTGGATAAGATTACCGAAAGCAGGTGATGGAATGAGCAGCAGTCTAGGATTCGTGTGGTATGGGAAAATCCAAAACATAGTAAGTAAAGAAGGGCTGGCAAAACATACTAAGTAGTGTCCAGAGAAGTAGTAAGAAAACTGAGAATAGTATTACAGAAGCCAAAAATGGAGAAAACAGGGAACAGAAGTCCTTATTAAGTGCTCTAGAAATTAAGTAAGAGAATGTCTATTTATTTGAAACTGAGATCATTGGTGATATAGTAAGAACAGAATGCTATGGGTGGACCTCTGCTATAAATACAAGATATAAGGGAAGCTGAGAAACTGGAGACTACATACTCACTCTTTCAAGTAACCTGGCTATAAGCAGAAAATAAAAATTAAAAAGATCTGATGTAGGATTGGCAGAACATTTCTTTATTACCAAAAAGCCTTGAGAATGTTCATATCATACTCTGATGGAAAAGTGCTATTAGAGACACTGAGGATACAAAATTGATAGAAGGTAGTAAAGAACATGAAGTCACAGCCCAGCCTGAGATGCAATTTCTTGGACGTATCTGTGTTATTTTGGGAAATTTACTTAAGTTCATTGCCTCAGTTTTCTTATTCATAAAATATATCCATCATAAAAGGTAGTTGGGAGGATAAAATCATGTATATAGAAATGCATAGTACATAGTGCCTAGAACATAGTAAACAATATATAATAGCTATTGTCATTTTTATTGTTACTGCAGGATAAAATTCTTTTTCGTGGAAAGGAAGAAAGGAATCACAGGCTAGGTGTTGAAGAGAAATACATCTTCTAATTAGGCAAGAGAGAAATAAGAGAGAATGGGCATCAACACACATGGATGTGGATTACAAACTAAAATCCCTACCCTGTTTTCCTTACCAATACCTAGCTCAGTAGTACAAGAAATCATTATGTATAAGGACTCCGAGTAACCTAGAAACACCTATCATATAAAATTGCATTAAAATGGCATCCATCTGAAATTCCATTTATATACAAACAAAATGATTAGTGAAAATTCATTGTGCTATCTGCATTCCAAGCCGAAAGATAAAAGATTTCTTTAAAAAATATTCTGTATAGAGTGTCATTAACATCCAATATTGTTTCCAAACAATCTTCAGTGTTCTGAAGTGGGCAAGATAAAACAAATGACCCACTCCAAGATTAAAGTTGCTTTGAAGTCTTATGGTTTATTTAAAAAATTAATACAAATTTTCCTCATCAGTATATGAGTATGTGTTTTAATATAAATTTTTTACTTAACATGGAGTAAACACTGCTGGTCTAGGAAGATATGCCATGTCCCTCACTTATCCCTGGCACACTGCTAAAAATCTTTTATATGGGACATACCAATAGTTTTTAGGTCTGGGCCAAACAATAAAAGTTTACTAAAATTGTCCACTTCTAATTATTTTAAGTTCAAACATAAAATATTGTGAAGTCATCACACAAGATGCCTGGTCAACTTGATTTTTTTTTTTTTTTTTTAGTCAATCAAAATGGCTTTTATGTATTAAAATTTTTTTTTAAGAAACCATATGGTTAGCCCAGGTTTCAGCTTTGAATCAGCTAAATTTCTTCATTTCATATCTTATGTCTATGTATTGTAACTAATGAATAGGGAAGATACTCTAAAAATGAGATACTTATAGTTTCCCTAGCTTGTCCTTATCCTGGTTATGTTTATGGGTCTATTTTTCTGACTTTACCACTTAGTTGTCACTGATAGGCATAGCCAAATTCCTTCTCTGTTGGTTTCATCAGTCAGACTTTTTTGTTTAATAAGTTCCATTTGCGATCAATCTCCAATCTGTCTAGATGTAGTAATGAATAAAATGAATAATTCTATCTTAATCTTATTGGAGTCATGATGAAAATGGATGCAATCTACAAAAGGCCATTTTTTAGACAGCAGCTGTTTTCATTTGAACTAGTCTGAAAGTTTTTCCTTCCCTAATCTTGACACTTAATAACTCTTTTAACTACAAATGTGAGGTTTCTTTTCACTGATTCTGCAATAGTCTTTACTAAATTACTTGTTTAATGAGGATCTTGAAATATATCTATTTGAATAAAATTATAAATAGAATATAGCCATTTACAATTTAGTTATTCCAATTTCTCCTTAGGATTCTAAATTCATTCTTAGTCAAAAATATTTATTAAATACCTCCTGTTATGGGCAAGGCACTCTTCTGGGTAATAATGTACCAGAATACTGAGATGTGGTAAGTAAGCCTCAGCCTAAAAAGAGATGATGGTCTAGTAGCTTCCAAGACAGAAGAGAAGACATTCAAAAGTACTGACAGATCTAATTCCTTTGAGCATTTACTATCAAATATATCTAATCACATTTTTTTTTTTTTCTGACCAGTAAGGGGATCGCAACCCTTGGCAAGGTGTGATCTGCACCACGCTCAGCCAGTGAGTGCACCGGCCATCCCTATATAGGATCCGAACTCGTGGCTTCGGTGCTACCAGCACCACACTCTCCCGAGTGAGACACGGGGCTGGCCCTATCTAATCACATTCTTAAATCATTTTCTTCTGGCATACATAATATTAACTATCACATCAACTGTGGAAAGGTAATGTAGAATGTTATTTCAAAAGAGATTAAGCTCTAAATGTGAAAGAATACATATAAAAAGCAGTACCCAAAACAGCAAATATATTAAGCCAAAAATTACAAACAAACTATATGAGGGCACTTCAAAAAGAGGAAAAATAGAATTAAGATAATACAAATCTGTCCATGAAACTTTTGAAGTACTCTCATACAGTTACAAAAATAGATTCTAATGAAGATTTTACTTCAAATATCTACCCACTAATGCACTAAATAAAAATGAATTTTAATTAAGAGTAATTTAAAGGCATAAAACTTACGAAAACATTACAAAAATGATCCTCTGAAAAAATCTCTTTTCCATAGAATTTGGAGTTTACTAAGAACAACGAGATAGAATTCTATAAAAAGATAAATCTAAGTTTCTTAGGGAAGAAGAGTTTAAATCAGAGCAAACTAAGTTATTGAATGAAATAACAGCATAGCTGAAAAGTCATGGGGAGAGAAAGAACTTGGCTCCTTAATTTATCATACAACAGTGTATAATTTTTTAAAAGATGTTTTTAAGTGCTAGTGCTTTTGTGGTTTTAGCAAGGTATGATATAAGGAAACAAATATAAAGTCAAATTATATTGAAAAATATCTCCATACTGCCTCTTTCTTTTTAGTAGACACTATCTGTTATATTAGTTAATGTTTTAAAATTGGCAGCTTTAATTTCGGATACCATCCCATAGTCACAGTTTTGTTTGAGTAGAATTCATCAAAGTGGATATTTCATAACTTTTTTGTTAATAAATTGGCTCAAGTCACATTCTTTTTAGCCCAAAGACCTTCTTTGGTTGTACTGTCATAGAAAATATTATCAGAAAGTTAGCACTGTGGCTGTAAAATTCTCTAGCTTTTGAATGTAATTTTTAGTACCATCTTAATAATACTACTTTTTAAAGAGTGCAGAATATAGTTTTATATTTGGCTTTCTCAGAATGAAGAGATATGTTTTATTTAAAGCTAACTTGCTCACTGTTGGCTGAGAAATTTAAAAGGAGATTTTAACATTAATTTAGTTGTTAAGCTATAAGCTTAGAATTTTAACACTTGGCTTTTCTAGTACACTATTTCTGAATAGTAGAACAGTAATAAAACACTATACTATTTCATTTGGATGATGCTAACATAAATACTTAACCAAATATTAAAAATTTTCAAATTAGCCTGCTATCAAACATGAACTTCAAAACGGGCATTTTATGACTACCATTTTTAATATTCTAAAATATTCAATAATTATTTGTACATTATATAAAATTTTTAACAAAATTTTATTCAAAGCAATAGGAAAATCATATTCAAAACACAGAAATAATCAGACTATAACAATGCTGCATAGATAGTGGTATACAAGTTCCCTGACACTAAGTGACTTCTTCCTAAAACTTCAATTTTCAAGTCACCAGGTAGAAAATGGTAGAGGCATTATTTCCTCTCTCTGAGGCTGGAAAAATGGCTTCAATGGTGAGAAGTCACACCACTAAAACAACAAAGATTATCCCCCAATTTCATTCTATTCCCTTATTATTATTTTTCAAAGATAAAAATTTAGAATGTAAGGATTAGTGGAAGGGAATAAGAAGTGAATTACCTCTTAGGAGATACCCTGATCAGGGCCTGTTTCAATCAGACAAAACACTGAATTTTTAAAAATTACAACCACACCATTATGCTTAACTAAAACTGCCAATGTGAATACTTTTTTACATAATATATTATATGTACACAAGAAAAGAAATAACCTGTTTCCTATCATTTGACCTTCACTAGAAAAAAGTGTTATCACTAATGGGGATTTGAAAAATAATTTTCATAGCCGAGAACTAACTCTACAAAGATCAAAATCTTTTCTGAATATTTAAAAGCAGACTGAATCCGTCAATGAGAAATTGCTAGATTTGTTTTATGAGTACTTTTTGAAAAGAAAAACAATTTATTTGGAAGAAATTTGTAGCTGGAAACATTGCTCCTTAATAAAACATTAAGTTTACCCTGAGAAAGTGTTTTCAGGGACCCCCACCAATGCATGAAGGAGCAACTTGTAGGCTATAGCCTTTTACAGTTACCTACATAATGTTCTGGTCTAAAAAATAATTTGGGCTTCTCTGCTATACTTGTAACAGGACACAACCAAGACATCTGAAGTGATGGAGTACATAAGCAAATTTTGGGCAGGTCTCTTCCCTTTCTAAGAAGAAAGAGTTTGTAGTTCTTCAAATGGTCTTGGACTCAAACCTACTGTTCACAAAAAAAGAATCTTCTGTAAGTAAATTGGCAGTTTTCTTAAAATAGTAAACATATTTGTCTGGCCTACATTCTCTAATCTATGCCTAGAAAATAAGGCATTAGTAATTCTTCACTGGCCATTGCAGAGCACAGACAACTACTTTCTTTCTATTCAGAGGCATATGCAAACATTGCTGAAAGTGCATTGTTATTTTTAACATCTCTTACGCATTTATACAGTCAGTATTTGACTCCCTACATCCTTTTAGTATAAAATAATGCTTATTCCTAACACCTTACATATAACCATAATTACGTGAGAAAAGACAAAGTGAAAACAGCTACAGAAGTAGCAAGATATTTTCCACAAACAAAAATAACCATTTAAAAAATGGCAAGTTAGTGATAATTGGTAGTAAGAACTCTCAACATACTGCTTTGGGGTCCAAATTAAGATTTGACAAGTTTGAAGCCTTGTCCTGTATCCAGCACAGTAGGAAGAAACCAACTCATTTTTAATCTTTTCAAGCACCTAAAACAAGTTTTGCAGATCCAAAAAAGGTTCAGACCACATAACCAATTTGCTAAATGCACTAGTGGATATGTAATACGAGGAAAATGTAACATCCAGTGCTTGGCCACATCGTTTCCAGTAGGCAAATGTAGAGTGTAGTCACTCCACCGTTTTGACACGCCATAGACTGCTTTCACTGTGCGTCCCTTTTCAGTCCAGCAGATGTTATTACTGGAGTTGCAGTTATATTCTACCCAGTCTTTCGTAAAGTCACCCAGCTGAGGTGGGTCAGCTTCTTCAATATCTACTGTCTTTGTCATCTCTGCTCCTTGTACTGCAATATACTGGTCATTAATTTTTCTCACTTCTTTCACCCAAGGGGTTGAATTCTCACTGTCTAATACAATAATTAGCCGGGAACAGAAGGAACCATTCTTTTCTCTCCACCATTCTAAAAGTGTGTCAAGGCGTAATACGTCTCCACCTGTAAAGAGAAAATTCAGTAGAGCAATAATTTCTCAAGCCTCTCATTAAGAAGATTCTCATCTTAAGTGTATTCTCTTTAAATTCTTTGGATTAAATATGTAAGCAAAAAAAAAAAAAATACCTGTTACATAAAGGAATATCTTATGACAAATTTAAAAAGTTGTTTTATATAGTTAAATTTAGTAAAAACAATTAAAATTATACAGAAAAGCTAATATTCTAAACCAGGGTCAGCTTGTGAGCCAAATCCAGACTGCCACTTATTTTTGTGTGGCCTGAAAGCTCAAAATTGATTTTACATTTTTACATGGTTGAAAGAAAGTCAAAAGAATATTTTATAACATGAAAATCATAGAAAATGTAAATTTCATATAATTATTTCCATAAATAACATTTTATTGGAACATAACCATGCTTATTCATTTACATTCTGTCTATGGCTGCTTTTGCTCTACAATGGCAGAGCTGAGTAGCTGTAACAGAGATCTTTGGCCCACAAAGCTGAAAATATCTGGCCCTTCACAGAAAAAGTTTGCTGACCCCTGTTCCCCATTGATAAATCAATGTTTCCTTATCATCATATGTCGGTACCTACTAAATGAGAAACACTCTTCCTACCTGTGCCTATAATGAGATTAAGAATGGATTTGCATTTATATCAGTTTCAGACTGAAGAATGAAGGATTAAAAGAAATATATTCAGAGGTGTAAAGTAGATAAATTTCTGACCTAGAAAACTGTTTTACAGAGTAGGTTTTACATCTGGTTCACGGTGCATAAATTTTGTATTAATTTTGATTAAGTATATTACATTAAAGTATTTTTTTATCTTGATTATTGAGTTTTTTGGCACTCCCTTAAATTTTGTGCCTGAGGCAAATGCTGTCCTGGCCCTTTCTCAATGGTACGCTGACACAATCATTCCAATTCTAGAAATCTATCCTAAGGAAAGAACAAAAAGAGGAACAAAAAAATTACATATTAAGATCTTTTTCCCATTGCTATCCCTGGAAGCATAAAATCTAAAATAGAAAGAATGGAAATAAATTATGGTATAAACTTAGGAGGGAATTTTAAAATATTTATAAAGAAATTTTAATGACAAGAAAATGTCTATGATATTAGGAGAAAAAGCACGACTGAAACATGTCTATAAAAATTACAGCAGTAGCTATTGCTAGGTGTCTGGCTTTTAGGTGGTTCTTAAAATACTTTTCTATATTTTCTAAAATTTTTACATTGAGCATGTTACTATTATAATTAGAAAAAGTTCTAATATGCTGAAATTTACTAGCACAAGATCTAGCAATCTAACTTCAGAATACACATTTTCACCAAGAGCAACCATCCTCTTCACTGAACCATCAAAATGCTACCACCAGAGAGACAGAGAATTCTTTAGAATTTGGATTCTATTAGTAATATGACCTCTAAAACCAGGCTGTATCACAGTCTTTATAACATTCAGTTTATTCATCAGCCTGCAGTATCTTAGACTCTGAAAATAAAACATTTGTCTTATGAATTGCTCTAACACTCATACATAACATCTCAGAGGCACTATTTCAATACATGGTCTCCACATATATACCTCCAGAAGATATCACTCTTTCAAAAATGGCCAAATGTTACCTGTTCTTTATTACCAGCTCTATTAAATTTCTCTAGAGATCAGAGGGTGACACATTACAAAAGCTATTAGGCAATGATGTGTTTGTGGCACATGGAATTTGTATAACATGCTATCCACAACTATTTCAGTACATATTCTTTAGCACATTCTAACCTAATTCTCTTATATAAATGCTCTTTAGATATCAACAAGAGACTTAAAGCAACATTAAAGCAGTTTAAACTATTTCTCTTTTATTTTGCTCCGCTTTCTCCTATGAATAGGTTCTATGCTGCATTTGGCTTTTGGCTCAGATGCAAAGTACTTACATTTATCTCAGATAACAACCATCTGATGCATTTCAAGTAACTGAAACTGCTTTTTAAAGGCTTTGTTTATCTGTGACAAACTACTTTACAGATTATCTACTTTTTTTCATTTATTTCTCTCTTATAATTACCATAATTGTTTTTTACCCTCAAGAAAAGAGGTAAAAAATATCAGGTTCCATATTATGAAACCCCATATATGTAAGAAGACTGTATATTCTAAGAAATTCTGTGAGTAAAGGCATGGGATGAAGGGCAAACATAGATTAAATAAAGCATTTTCCTCAGAGCAGGGGTGTTCAATACTATTTTGTGAGGCAGAATCAGCCTTCAAGGGCTATGTCTAAGACAGGCCAGGGCATGAACTGGCTGAAAAAAGAGCTTCCAGGCTTGGTTCAACTTGGTTACCTGTAAGTGGGCAAGGTACCTGAGGCTGTGACAGTATGCAGCTGCTGAGTTACGGGATAAAACCTACTCTTTCTCAGGGAAGGGAGGGCCGTGTCAAGTTATGCTTTCTCTGCTACTATTAATTATTACTTTTTATAATAAACTGACAAAGTTACAAATCGTGGCTAATAAAGGAATTCTATAATGGTCAACTTATTGGTAGCATACTTTGTAACTTTTAAGATATCATTCCAGAACATAACTGCTAAACATTTATCTACAATGTAACTATTTTAGAGTTCACAAGTCTTCATAAATTATTCCCAAATCATGATGGATAAAAATTTAAGAACACCGATTTACATACTATTTATCTTAGTCTTACTTTTCCTGAGAAAGAGAAAGTGACATAAATATTAGTAAACTGAACATCTAGAATTTATTTCCAAAGCCATTTAAAAAAAATATTTGAAACAAATTGTAAAGCATTTAAGAAGAAAAATGCAAACTTTCTGAAAAATGTCTGTATTAGGTAATAAATCCTTCATGTAAACACACAAAAAAGCTTACTTTTAAAATAACTTTCTTACGGGCCGGCATGGTGGCACACTGGAGAAGTGCGCCACTTGGGAGTGCGGTGGCGCTCCCGCTGAGGGTTCGGATCCCATGTGGAGACCGGTTCCTGCTCACTGGCTGAGCGCGGTGCGGGCGCAACACCAAGGGTTGCGATCCCGTTACCGGTCAGTAAAAAAGACAAAAAGGGGAAAAAAAAAAAAAATAACTTTCTTAGAATAAATACCTAAAAATATCTAGAGGGTACATGCTTGACAACCAAAATTATGCCTTTTTCCCATTTGATCTGGAGAGAGTTTATTATAAGTACTGTAGTAAGTTTTCAATAATCAATCCCTGATTTTAGGCCTGAAATTCTATTTCTGTAAATTTTTCTTGTACTTAGTTAAAATACACACAACATGATACTTTGCATGGAACTGAAGTAGCCATAACAGTTAAAACGTCGTTTTCTACATTGTGATTTAAAAAGTTACAGGTCAAGTAAATGATTTTGCAAACTATGTTTAAGTAGTTTTAAGTACCTCTTCGTATATTCTAGTTTTTTGAAAACGGGTGATCCATGCTACAAAAATAGCTACTTAACCAGAATATGCCATTTCTCTATTATCATGACTTTTGCTTTTGGTGGTAAAACGGTACAGTGGGGGAAACACACTTCAGGAATATGGCAGACCTGGGCTTGAACCATGGTTGTATCACTTAGTGGTAAGTGACCATTTTCAGCTTCCATTTCATCCTTAGGAAAATGAAGATAATAGAGGTAATGGTATCAATCTGGCACAAAATTAGTGAGATCATGCTAGTTTAAAATTGAATTTACTTTACCTTGAATTTTCCTTTTGGAGTTCTTGTATTGGCAGCTCTGCTTCTGTCTTTCTATATTATTTTTGTTTATCTTTTTCTTTGACCTGAATACATGTTTCCACTGATACCTGATGAATACTTTATTACTGTATGTATTCTTGTTTTAAAACATCAAAAATCTTCTAGATTTAATTATATCCTGCTTTTTTTCCATAAAAGTACTATTTCTAATCTAAAATAAGAAAATTACCTTTCTTTTTCCATGAGTCATTCAGTGATTTCAAACACCGATCAATTATTTAAGAATCCCGTACTACATGCCAGGCTCTGTTGTTGGTCTTAAGGAAATTCATAAAACAAAGCCCTGGACTTATGGGGTCTCACTTATAGTTGGGAAGATTGACAACAAATTTATATATTACATACAGATCTCATTTTCCTCTTGGCAGTAACTCAACAAATAAAGCATTTTCTTTTTTTCCCATAAAATATGTAACCCAAAGTTGATTTTACAATTTTTCAACAGCCTAAAAGCATTAAAAAAAACCTACAGGGGCCGGCCCGGTGGCGCACTGGATAGTGCGCCGCTTGGGAAGCGCGGCGGTGCTCCCGCCCGAGGGTTCGGATCCCACATACAGACCGGTTCCCGCTCACTGGCTGAGCGAGGCGCGGGAGCGACGCCGAGGGTTGCAATCCCGTTGCCGGTCCCCGGTCCGGTACGGGGGCAACACTGAGGGTTGTGATCCGTTGCCGGACAAAAAAAAAAAAAAAAAAAAAAAAAAAAAAAAAAACCTACAGAATTTTATACCTTAGAATGAAACTCAATGATCATTTGATATTACCCCATCATTTTACAGATGAAAAAACTGAAGCCAACAGAAATTAAGTAACTTGCCTAAAATAATACTATTGTCGTAAATTAGGACCAGAACCAAGGTCTCCTGATATAAGTGCTACTCCCACCGTATCACATTGCCTGCTATTTAAAATTTTGGTGAACTTTCTAACATAAATAAAACTACACATGTGAAGGACTACTGAAATCTACATCCCTAACATTTAAACACTTAAAATACTAGTCAAAGAAGTTGATCAGTTTCTGAAAAATGTAACTATATCTAATAATTCTGAAGGTACTTTAAACGGAAACTGGTTATAAGTCTCAGATCAAGCAGATTTTTTTTCCTTCCAATCACTACAAGACAGAATTCTCAAAACTCTATCATTAGAGATTACTAAAATTATGCTAAACAGGTATGCTAGACAAAAGAAAAACAAGTCATATGTATACTTGGTAGTCTCTGTGTGAAGAATAGATTTCCCCAAATATGTGTATCTTCACAATAGTGAAATTGCCAAAGATGAATTTACCTGCTAGAGCCCACTCTCCTGTACCGTGTGTGTGGCCACTGTAATACAAAACATATGTATCATGTCTAGGTCCATCCACAGTCCGAAGTTCGAGGAAAGCTTTCAGTTTGGAATGTAGAGTATCAAAAGACAGTCCACTTGTGGAATAGTCACATCCATAGGTCTCAATCATATGATATGCAAAAAATCTTTGGATATTGTTAAGCATACCAGTAGACCTCAAATTTAACTCTTGTACATGTTCTGGTGGAAGCAATGTTGGCTGACCATCGGGACTGAGGGAGAGAAAATTATTTTAGTGTTTAAGAAGTATTCATTTTAGATCACATTCTCATCTGTCATCTATATTTGATTATCTATGAAGCATAATAGTTGCTAACTAAATCGCAGGATTTTTAAAAATCAACTTTTCTAAAATTCTTATAATGCTAAGAATTAAGCTTGAAAAACTAAAACCTGGTTTCTAAAAATTATATTTATCAGTAAAACAATAACCATACTAAAAGCTAGGAGAATATCTCCAAATGTCGATAGTACTACTGTTTTTTTATTCATATCTCACCAAATGATACATATTGGACAAGACTTTTTAAAAGCAGGATTACATTGTTTCAAGAACACCTGGGGGGACTATAAGGAAAAAACTTTTTATTCTTGAGAAACAAAAAATTCAACACTAAATATGGAAGCAATATTTTAATTATCTATTTAATTTCTGTACTATACAGTGTCTTTATAAAGTTGTATTCAAGTTTTACTAATTTAAGTTACATCAAAGAAGAAATTATCTATTAATAAATAGCATTTAAAAACAATTATTAGAACTTAGGGGCCGGGGGGCCGGCCCAGTGGCGCACTGCTACAGTCCTGCCGAGGGTTCGGATCCCACATACAGACCGGTTCCCGCTCACTGGCTGAGCGAGGTGCGGGCACAACACCAAGGGTTGCGATCCCGTTGCCGGTCCCTGTCTGGTACGGGCGCGACACTGAGGGTTGCGATCCGTTGCCGGAAACGAAAAAACAACACCGAGGGTTGCGATCCCGTTGCCGGTCCCAGTCCGGTACGGGCACGACACTGAGGGTTGCGATCCGTTGCCGGAAACGAAAAAAAAAAAAAAAAAAAAAAAAAAAAAAAAGGAACTTAGGGGCCGGCCCGTGGCTCACTTGGGAGAGTGTGGTGCTGATAATACCAAGGCAACGGGTTTGGATCCCTATATAGGGATGGCTGGTTGGCTCAATTGGGAGAGCGTGGTGCTGACAACACCAAGTCAAGGGTTAAGATCCCCTTACCAGTCATCTTTTTAGAGAAAAACAAAAACAAAAAAACCCCTTAGATCCATTGCCTATACTACTGAACACTACTTGAACATTAAGATCTGATTCTGGAACAAATACAAAACGGTACTCTAGTAAAGATGATAGACCAAGTCTTATCAATATTAAGGGTGAAAAAATCATCACTCCCATCCAGAAAAGGAATTTCTATCAGGAATTTAGAAAACTTTAGATTTTGCTTTATCAATACTATTCTAATCCTTTAAGTTTTCATTAAAAATAAAACATTTTGTTACATATTTTAACATTTAACAGTCAAAAAAGTAAAAGAATACACAACACATAAAAATTACAATGGAATAAAAATCTGTGTATATTACCATTTACAAACATCCTTTCTACAGAGCTGTCACTTATTACTTTATGGGAGCCTTAAGAATCTGTGTCTTTCATTTCTTATGAGAATCTTAAACTTTTTCTCAAGCCTTTAACATGGAGAGTCTGTTTTGGTTTTTTTGTGTTTTTTTTTTCTTTTTAGAAAAGATGACCAGTAAGGGGATCTTAACCCTTGACTTGGTGTTGTCAGTATCATGCTTAGCCAGTGAGCTAACTGATCATCCCTATAAGGGATCTGAACCCATGGCCTTGGTGTTATCAGCACCGCACTCTTCCGAGTGAGCCATGGGCTGGCCCCTGTTTTGGAGTTTTGTCAAATATCTGAAATGAGATAACTGTTTGATTTCAAGGTGGGTTTTCATTCTTTTACCCCCAAGGAAAGCATGATGAAAACTTGGTTTACAGAATTCATTAATGACAAAGAACTTTTCTATTTTACAGGTATTTAGCTATAAAAGAAAAAAAAATGTAGCAATACGTACAGATTCATATAGAATTCCCATACATGCGGGGGCAAAAATTATTTTGAAATAAAACTGCAATCAATTAATTAAACTTTAGTGCCAATCTTTTGAATTCCTAATTTGTATATTTTTCAACGTGCAGAGTGTTTTTACATTCATTCTTATTAGCTCTTCATAATATTCCAAAATAGGTATTAGCATTTTAAATAAAGACACTGAGGTTCAGAGAAGTTTTGCTTTGGTAACAAAGAACTAGAATTCTGGACTCTCAGTTTCAGTGCAGACTCTATTATATTTCACCATGTTGTTTCACAGGACACTTTCTTAAGCAAGATGTATTCCCTTTAGCATAGAACATTGCCTTAAAAAATTGATTCATTTTTTTTATTTCTAGCTAAAATATAAGCTAATCATATTTATCAAAATTTAAATTGAACCCTGAAAATTATATTACCACTTAAAGTTTTCTAAAAATTTGGAATAAAATACAGCGTACTATATTTTGGAATTATGGCTGTAAAACTATATTTTATATTTATACAAATATTAAGAAAATGTTATGAGTCATCTAGTTATTACTAACTGTACTAGGTTACTGTACCTGCAGAAGATGGTGGGAATCACAATAGCATATCCAACAGATGTTCCTCCTAAACAGTTACCCAATTCATGGAAGAGCCCATGAGCCATGGATTCCAATGGCAAAACGATTAGAAACATGCTCAAGAAGATTCCATTTGTTGGCTAAAAGAAATTCAAAACATGTTTATAAAGTAGGTATGAATGCAATTATGTCTTTGTATGTCTATACATATTTACATACACTCACATTGATTCTCATTTTTTACCCCACTCCCAAAAAGGATAAAAAGGACAATGATTGAAAAATAATTTTAAGTTAAAGAACACAAGTATATATGAATGAGCTAGTAGCATGAAACCTAAGTTTATCTTTAAGCTTCGTGGAAGCTGTGGCAAAAAAGCATGACATATTTTTAATTTGTCAAATAACATCCCATCCTAACAGTAAGAAAAAAACCACAAAACAAATCATAACCACTTTTTCATATGACAGAGAAAATGTCAGAAAACAAATCTTCTCCTGTTAACCCACATGCCTTACAAATCATTTTTCAAATAACATGTTCATTTACTTTATTAGAAAGGGTACTTCAAAAAGGGCTCACTTTTACCTGTCAAAAAAGTCCAGAAATTATGAACATAAAATCTTATGGAAATTTAAGATACTAAAACTATCAAAATGAACTCCACTTTTTTAATAGTTTAACCTTGAAAACTCTATATGTCTAAATCCAAAATTGTAATAACAACAAAAAGAAAATATTAAGGACATTTAAACATCCTGAAAGCAGAACAGAGAATAGGGAGGCAGAAGAAACATTAAAAGCAGGATGTAAGATTAGCTATTAATTGCAATAAAAAAGCAGAAAAAATTAAAGGACCCATTAAAATGAAAAGAATTAAAATAAGAAAACAATAACAAATGAAATTCTGGAAACTATACAAACACATGGAAATTAAACAGCATTCTACTTTATAACATATGGGTCCAAGAAGAAATCAAGCAGGAAATCAAAAAATTTATGGAAACTAATGAAAATAATGATACATCATACCAAAACCAGTGGGATACTGCAAAAGCAGCACTAAAGGGAACATTTATCACATTAAATGCTCACTTCAGAAGAATGGAAAGATGGCAAGTGAACAACCTAACACTTCACCTTAAAGAACTAGAAAAACAAGAACAATGCAAACCTAAAGTTAGCAGAATTAAGAAAGAAAACTACAGGCCAATATCCTTGATGAATATAGATGCAAAAAATTAAGAAAGAAAACTACAGGCCAATATCCTTGATGAATATAGATGCAAAAAATTAAGAAAGAAAACTACAGGCCAATATCCTTGATGAATATAGATGCAAAAAATTAAGAAAGAAAACTACAGGCCAATATCCTTGATGAATATAGATGCAAAAAATTAAGAAAGAAAACTACAGGCCAATATCCTTGATGAATATAGATGCAAAAATCCTCACTAAAATACTAGCAAACAGATACAGCAACTTCACCATGATCAAGTGGGATTCATCCCAGGGATGCAAGTTTGGTTCAACATATGCAAATCAATAAATGTGATACACCATCTCAATAAAAGCAAAGACAAAAACAATATAATGGTCTCTATAGATGCTGAAAAAGCATTTGATAAAATTCAGCACTCATTCATGACAAAGACCCTCTATAAGTTAGGTATAGACGGAAACTATCTCAACATAATTAAAGCCATATATGATAAACCCACGGCCAATATCATCCTGAGTGGGGAAAAGCTGAAAGCTTTTCATTTAAGAAAAGGAACTAGACAAGGATGCCCACTCTCACCACTCCTATTCAACATAGTGTTGGAAGTACTAGCCAGAGCAATCAGAGAAGAGAAGGAAATAAAGGGCATCCAGATTGGAAAAGATGTAGTCAAACTGTCCCTGTTTGCAGATGACATGATCCTAGATACTGAACAGCCTAAAGCCTCTACAAAAAAACTCTTGGAGTTGATAAATGATTTCAGCAAATTTGCAGAATACAAAATCAACACACAAAAATCAGTACTATTTCTATTCTCCAATAGTGAACATGCAGAAAGGGAAATCAAGAAAGCTTGCCCATTTTCAATAGCGGCCAAAAAAATAAAATACTTAGGAATTGAGTTAACCAAGGATGTGAAAAATCTCTATAAT